TGTTGCTCTTCTGTTTCCAAATCTTCTTTTCTCCTTTTCACCCGTGTCCTCCTGGCCGTGTCCCTCATGACACGGGTCGTGTTGTGCAACACGGGCACCCGTGTCAGGCCTCTGACTTGTGCTTTTTCGGCTTTTCTTTGTCTTCGAAACAGTACGGATGTCCGGCCACCGATTCCTGCCAAAAATACACTAAAAGAAACCAAATCAAACGCACCGGCGACAAAAGCAATAAAGTTATTAAACTAAGACTCATGCGAAAACACTGCAAATAACTACGACAAAACAAACCAAAGACTAGAAAAACGGATAAAACAATGCGAAACCAACGACAAACATAGTTTGGAAAACACAACTAAAATCCGCCGATCAGATGAAGAAGTATATAATCTGAAAATTAAACTATTCTTGAAAGCCGACTTAAACAAGCCACAATTTTTTGAATTGCATTTGTCTCATCGTTCATCTCATGATGCTTAACATATAGAATGTGGTTCAATGGTCTAAGTCCTTCATGACATTAATTCCTTCTATTATAGTTTAATTTGAATAATATCAATAAATTGTTGTTATTCAAATTAAACTATAAGAGAAGATATGGATGTGATGAAGGACCTGGGTCATTGACCCACATTCTATATGTTAAACAGCGTGAGATGAACGATGAGACAGATGCAATTCAGAAAACATTAATTGATATAAGTTGGTTTTCAAATACAACTTAATTTTCTGATTATAAGTTTCTATGTCAATTTAAATGAATTGTATTTTCAGTGAAGGTTTAGTGAAACAAACAATCTACATATCATATAATAAATTCAACTTCATACAACAACATACAACAACACAAGCTATTATGTTATGTTTTAAGAATTTAAAGAACAAAACATTGCTAAGTCACAAGAAGCTTCTTAAAACATTAATCAACAATAACAACAACAACATACAACCACATTTATCAACAACACAACAACATACAACAAAATAAGGTTCAAGAGCAACAATAGCAACATACAACAACAACATACAAGAACACAAGATATTATGTAATGTGTAAAGAATGCACCTTTTTTTAAACAAATCGTGGATCTGGAATAAATTATGATTTTTATCTAGTTTATGAAGCTATGAAGAAGAAGTACAGGGTGAATGAAGTTAACACAATAGCTTCATACTTTTTGTATTTTTCTTCATAGCTACACAAACCATATGTATCATAGCCAAAGTATACACTTTGCTAAGGTGGTGAAGACGAATCTGAAAAAATAAGAACATTCACCAAATAAAAAAATGAGAACCCATTTTTAGCAAGAAATATAAGCAAAATTGAAGTATAAGTTTAATGAATGAACCTGAAATATAATTAAAGAGTATCACAGCGATTGGTGAAAACGAATCTGAAGGTTTAAGAAAGTTTAAAGAGTGATATGGATGTTAGGGTTATGTTATGAAAGATAATAATGAAATATGTTAGGGTTTTTATTTGATAGAAACGATTGTTATGGACTGAACGATAGATATTTTCTCTTATATAGTAAAAAAATATCAATTTTCATCACGATTAGAAAAAAAAATTGTGATATAATATATCACTTTTACAACAGTTCTTTTGTAAAACCGTGATTAAATAACTTTCAATTTTTTATTTATTTATGAACCCAATGATGAGAGATTTATTATTTATTGTTATTTTTATTTTTCATTACTGTTGCGATTGTTGTTATTTTTGTTGGCTTGTACAATTTTTTTATAAAAACAATAATAGTGTATAAATGAAAGAGTATATAAAATAATAATAAATAATTTCATTAAGAGGGACAAGAGGGAAGAATACATAGATAATTTCATTACATAATTTTGTCAATGTCAGAACAATATCTCCTAACAGCAAAGGAATCTTCATAATTTATGACTCTCTCCTCACTACCCTCGTCAGAATCATAGTAATAAATCTTCGTGGGCACCTTTTTTTTCTTCTTCTTCAGCTTCTTCTTCTTGGCCTTTCTAACCTGAAGTGTATCCCTGACAGTAATCGGTCCAGATGGCTGGATCTCTTTATTTAACACTTGATCATAGTGTTGTACTGTGGTGACTTCAGTTGAGTTATTTCTGTTAGCATTCTCAGATGGAGAACTAATGTTGCTATATGTAGTTAAGAAGAATAGTTTTGAATAACTGAAAATTTATTATATGAAACTGTGCTTTATAGAAGAGGTTGAAGATGAAATATCTGATAATTTAATATTTGTAATGATTACTTCCAATGGTTGATATTCTTGAATGACATTGTGACCGTCTTGAAAAATGAATAAAATTTTCAATCATCATTATAGTTGGGAAGAACGTTTCTCTCTTTCGGGAAGAGCAAAGGTTGTACATATAATATCATAAAAATTTCATATTAAATCCGTGATTAAATAATTTTCAATTTTTTTATTTATTTATGAACTTAAGTGACACACGCTTTTTGTAATAGGAAAAATGAAAAAATTGTAGTTGCCAGGATTCGAATCTTGTACCACTCACTTTATCACCACAGTTGTGTCTATCACCCATGATTAAATAACTTTCAAAAAAATAAATAAGCATTAGGCACATCCAGATTCAAATATTACAATGGTGGAAGGCATGACCGTAATAATATTATGTTACTGAATGTGTATTTTATAGTAGTGATTCCTCAACACGTCTTTGTTTGGAGTCATGTGTTAAGTACAACCTGAATTCATACTCCACTCCTTGCTAGAGTTGCTACTTGAAATTACCAGGACATCAAATGAATCATAATCATCTTGCATAATAGAAGCATTACCATTATCCTTACCTCCACGATTATTCAATCGATCAGGGCAAACCTTTCTTGTGTGAACCTCCTTCCTACAGTGATAACACCTAATTGCAGGAGCATCACCACCATAAGACTTCTGGTGACCTTTACCCTTATTCTTCTAAAACCTACCATCTTTCTTTGTGAATATTCCTTTTACGGTCAATCCTTCACCCACAAAAGATGGTTAATGCTCATTTCTTTCATTCGGGTCATTCGATTACAAGGTAGATTGAACTTTTTCAATGGTCAGGGATTGTCTTCCATATAAGAGGGTTTCTTTAAAGTGAGCTTGAGATCTTGGTAAATCACACAATAACAACAACGCTTGATCTTCATCATCAATCTTGACCTCGATATTTTCAAGATCAAGAATTAACTTGCTGAACATATCTAGGTGCTCAACAAAGACTTTGTCTTCACTCATCTTGAATGAACACAAAGCTTGCTTTAAGTATAGACGATTGAACAAGGATTTAGTCATATATAAGCCCTCGAGTTTGCTCCACACACCTACTGCAGTTTTTTCCTTTGAAGCCAGCCTCAGAACCTTATCACCATGGCTCAAGATGATTGCACTATGGGCTTTCTTGATCATCATCGTCTTCTACTTCTTCGTTAGGATAACATTCATCTTCTCTTATCCTTTTGACACTTCATACAAACCTTGCTGAATCAGTACGACTTGCATCTTCAAGCGCCTCAAACTGAAATCATTCACACTTGTGAGTTTCTTAATCTCATACTTTGTTGACAACATATTCTTCTCCATACTCAGCACACTAGTTTGTTGTGACAAACGCAACACCAATAACGAATGAAACTATGAGAAAGATTGAGTTTCTTGAACATACACAAGAAACCTTTTTTAGATTTACCAGAGAGAGAGAGAGAGAGAGAATAAGGAAGAAGATGAAGAACAAGTATTGATTAAAACTGGTTTACTATTTACTTTCACAATTAGGACAAATTGTTTACAACTAAAGATCAACCAACCTTAACCATATCTCAACAATTTGATAGAGCTGCCTATTTATAGACTACAAGCTAACTTAAACCCTAAGTTAACTTAAGCACTAAGGTAACTTAAGTAACAAACTAACTTATACAACTATGTACTTGAATGAACTTTGACTATAACACACATCTTTGACTCCTGTCGAAACATGAAGTTATCCCTGTCGAGACTATAGTTCGTTCCAAAATATCACACGTTCCCTTTACTTCGAGTGACAATAATCACGTCCAGATGGAGAAGATGAAGTTTCTAAACTCTTTCATGGAAGAAATGGTTTTTTCAAGTTTCGTTTATAAAAGAAATGATATTTTTTGTTTCGTCTAGTAGAGAAGTGAACTTTCAAGTTTCATTTATTGGTGAAGATGAAGTTTCGTTTAGGATTTGTTCAATTTTGATTGTATTTTGTATATGAATGGAATAACAATTTCTTCTAAAAATGTATAAAGTTAAGGATTTTCCTATCTGTTGGGTGGCACACCCGAGAGGATAAATGAAACTTTATCTATCAGATGCCACCTCAATTGAGGAAAAATGTGAGACATTTTTAAATTTAAAAATAAAAGGTCAAGTGATATACCTTTCCTATCGATTTTCAACTCAATCGAACAAATTGATAGTATTTTTTTAAAATAAAAATAATAAATATTGTTGCTAACAATCGAAAGTGCACATGTGAAAAAAATTTCTATCAGTTGCAAGTTTAAACAAGAGAATATGTTATCCTTTTTTAATTTAAAAATAAAAACAATTTAATAAGTCAACCGAAACATTTTTCTTATCGGTTGTCCCCTCAACTAAAAGAATAAATAGGTTTTACCAAGGAAAATTAAAAAGCCCAATTACTGAAAAATTGAAGACACATCCTGAAGACTTTTCCTATTTCTTGATAGAATAATCTAATGAATAGATATTATTTTAAAAAATAAAATTGAAAAGTGTAAATTTAATTTTGCATCTATTTTTCTCACTTCGATTGAATATTTGACCCAGGTGAAAATTCTTTATAAAACTTATATTTCGTTGTAATATTATTAAACTAATAACTAGCATTGTGGAATTGAATTAGAAAATAATTAAGAAGAAGAATGTGAAAACATCAAAGGAACTTATTTATTTATTTTTTAATAGTATTTGCTAGCCGTATTCTTTAATTTCTCTTCAAATTAGGAACAAAGGATTTTGCACCATCTTGTAAACCGCATCCCATCCATTTTGAGAAGGATGAAAATCATCCCAAAAGAATGAACCCTCTGGTTTATCACACAAACTATATTTCTTTTCTCCCTTATCATCCACACTCCCGCACTCATAAGTTGAATTCTCTGGAACACAACACGGTTGCAACACATTCTCCACTGTTGAATTTTTCTGCATTGTTTCAATCACGGAGACAAAAGATTTGTAGAGGTCTAGTGTCACGAAAACTGATCCACTTTCTTTGTTCAGATCTTGCACAGTTTTGAGAAGCATTTCGTTATGCTTCATGACGAGCATGTTTAAAGTTTCGTTGCATTTATCATAAGAAGATGGTTTTGTTATTACAGGCAAACACCCAATAGGCTCTAATAATCCAACTGTTATTTTCTTTATTCCCACGCTATGAATGCGTTTAAGATTCGACGATAATTGGTTTATAATTGAAGCACCGAACACTAATATATCCTGCAACATAATTGACAGTGGAATTTATCATTCGTAATACATTATATACAATAAGAAAAGTTAGTTAGTTAGTTAAATCGTTTACCTTAATGTTCTTCCCATCTCTAAACAAATATTGAAAATAGTCGTTACCAGCATTACTGACAAGGGCAACCGAGGAATCAATGTCGGATTTGGTATATATATTTTGTTTGATTAACTCTTCAAATTTGTCGATTTGGATACTCATGTTCGGTCCTTTAAGGAATGTATCGAAAACACCGGTTCCTCCATAGGCAAAGTTTATACCAAATTGAAGGTCAGATGAATTTCTCAATGAATATGGGGCAGGAGATTTTATATTCAGAGACCAAGCTGTTTGTATATTTCGAAGTAAAATAAATGCGTGTTTATTAGAACATCAACCAATATATAAGATTAAAGAAAAATTATAATAAAAAACATAGAACACCATTGATATTTGTTAATGCATAGGAGATGGAGATGAGAGAGTTACCAATATAATCAGTGAGAATACGGCCATCGGAGAATCTTCCCGACGGTTGACGAGGAAATGTGATTCCATAAGGAGGTTTATAAGCCGACGAGTTTAAAAAGTTTAAAAAATTTCCTGTGTCAACATAGGAGTCTCCGAATACAAACAATTTCAAAGAGTTGTGGTAATCGGTTACCCCATATAACGACTTTTTAGTCCCTTCTACAAATTCATCGTCAAAGTTTGCATTAATTGAATTGCATGTAAAATCTAATTGCTTAAAGTTAGAAAAACTATGATATTCCAGTTGCTTAGATCATAATGTACGTATATAAGGTTACCTGTAGTTATTGGTATCATGAAAAGGAGAATAAGCAAAGAGAGAAATGTGGTGATTGGTGGAGTTTGCTTTGCCATTGATGAAAAAATAATAAGTATAGTATATGTATTAGGAGATATAGGGTACGTATAAATACTACTCAAACTAAAAGAATCATATACTGTAGTGTATATATGTAAATGATAGCGTATACGTTACACTTAACATGAGCGCTGACAAGATGATGCACTCAAATTAATTAATAGACTTTTAATTAGAAATATGTATACAAATAGAATGTTCCATACATGAAATGACAATGCGTTTAATAGAGTATTATGACTACTATAAGGAATACAGAATATTTGCATTTAAGGGGGCATATGGTTAGAAGAAGGATGGGATATGTTACTAAATTAAAGTAATTTGTAGTTAAATCTTGGAACTTGTCAATAATTTATAATGGCCTCTCTACTATTATATTAATCAAGTTTACCCAAATTATGTGGTTACTAGCATAAAAAGTTATCACAAAAAAATTCAAATGTCTAAATATGTGTATATTATTAGTGAAAAAAAGTCATTGAAAAAACTATAATTTATGACTAAACCAATTTTTTTTATAAGTACAATATTTCATTTTATCGGGGTATTAGAGGTGTTCCAATCCATTTACAATTTGACCTCCACAAATATTACAACAGACATCTTCAAACTTAGGAAGAGTTTAATGGGTTCACAAACCAATCATAATACATATATGTTTGATTAAAATGAACACGCGGACACTTTTCGTTATTTATCACTACGATATTGAGACGATCATTGTAAAAACAACTTCAACATTCCCTACTTCGTTATTGAATTGAATTTGATTTCTCGTCCATCATATGCTCCAACAAACAATAACCCAAAGGATTTCCACGAAAAGTAATATCTCCTTCCCTCTAAATCTCTCTCTCCAAGCCATAAAATATGAACAACATGAATTGCCAGGCAAAGGAGATATCCCCACCCACCGACACACGGCATTCCAAATTAATTTTGTTTGCATTCAAAAAAGAGATGATTAGAGCTTTCACCTGCATTGAAAGAGTAAATACACACCTGTTCATGAGAGTTAAGCACGACCCCGCGACTGAGAAGGTTGAAGTGTAGGCAGGAGATCTAAGACTAACTTCCACCCAAATACTTTCAACTTGACTGGTACCAATGTGCTCCACATGATTTTTAGGAAGATTTTGACATTGTCTTCGATTTCGACCTATGCAGTTGTGCTTAATATCAAACTGTAATATGACTTAACTTTAAATGTTCCTAAAGCATCATAAGGCCAAATGATGTTGTCTTCTTGATTTAAAACCGGTTTTGCCTCCAAAAGAATTTCAGACAAATCATGACTTTCCTGCGGCAGCTGAACGTCATCAGGACTAATATCCAATGCCAATTGCCATGACCAATTGTTATTATGCCTTGTTCCCAATTCAGCTATTGATGCTAGTTTTGTAACCGTTCTACTCCACAGACCAGGAAAAATCTGGTTTAAGGGTCTGCTTCCAATCCATTTGTCCATCCAAATCAGAATTTTTGCTCCACTACCCAGCTTGTAAGAGAACAAGTTTGGTACTTCCGCAATCGCTGCCTGGCTGTGTGTCGAGAACAGATCTTGCCACCAAACGGCCAATGTGGACTTAGAGCACACATATTCCTTGTTTGAAATACATTCCTTCAGATCTCCATATTTTGCTTGCAACAAACCCATCCACAACACATTTCTCTTATAAAAACCTCCAAATCCATTTAGCTAACAACACTTTATTAAACAAGATGGTGTCTTTTATTCCCAACCCGCCATCTTGTTTGGATCTGCAAACAACCTTCCAATTTACCCAAGCAATACCCCTATCAGTTTTTGAACCTGCCCATAAGAAATGTCTCTGTAGCGCCACCAGAGTTTGTGCGACTTTCTTTGGAATTCTGTAAAAAAGAAAAGTAATGTATTGGAAGATTTGTTAAAACTGAATTGATAAAAGACACCCTGCCTCCAATTGATAGTAATCGACCCTTCCATGATGACAGTCGCGCCTTTACACATTCAATCACCGGATTCCAGAATGCAATACGACGCTGATTTCCACCAACCAATAATCCTAAGAATTTAAATGGGAAACCACCAATTTTGCAACCAAGAAAATGTTCTGCAGCCTGCAGGAACCAATTATCCACTGCAATACCAAGCAAGGAGCTTTTACTGATTTATCTTCAAACCAGAAATCATTTCAAACCCCATGATAATTGCTTTCATCGCCCATAAATTACTCCAAGATCCCTGTCCTATCAAAATAGTATCGTCTGCGTACTGAAGTAAGCTAAATTCGTCGTCGTCATTTATCTTGAAAGCATCGAGAGAGCCAACCTGACATGCCCTCTTAACCAACAATGAGACAGCTTCTGTAATACTGTTTTGATCATCTGCCATGATCTTCTCAATCTCATTTAAGATATCAACCTCCTTCTCCACATTTAGATTAAGCACCCCAAACACGTTTGAATTCCACCACCTAAGTCTTTCCTTCAAAAGTTGTAACTTTTTAGTAAAAATGAAAGTTGCAGTCCCCGTCACACAAAAAGAACTCCATTCCTCTTTAACGAATTGAAGAAATTTAGAATGTTCAAACCAGCACATAAATGCCTTAAACGATTTTGGTCCCCAGTTTACGTTTCTTGCCTTCAACCAGACTGGTCTGTGGTCCGATACATCACAGCTTTTCAATTACTTAGGATATTGTATTTTAGAGATTAATTAATCCTTGAGATACAAGAAATCTATCCAAGTGGCTATAACAACTCCCATTTGTGTTGAACCATATGTATTTGTTCCCAATTATAGGTAAGTCAACAAGATTCATCAAGTCAATGAAAGCCCCAAAGTCTTCCATTTCAATTCTTCAGGATTTCCCTTTACCTCTCCTTTCATCTATACATTTCACAACATTGAAATCTCCTACCACAATCCACTATCCACTTGGAAGCTTACTTTTCTAATCTAATAGCTCCACCCACATTCGTCTCTTCTCATAAATAACACATGACGAATATAACTATTAATCAGATAACAATTCATGTTCTTCCACTCCACATTAATACCTAAGTAGCCCTTACCACAAAAACTAAATATGGGATTCATAATACTTGACCTCTAAATTGTCAATAGCCTACCAGATTGATCATTTATGTGTCTGGCGGACCATTCAAACCCATATGTATCCCATAAACTCTTTACAAAATCATCAATCATGTTCGTCCTTTTAGTCTCCTAGATAAAGCATACATTTGTCGCGCCTTTGGTGATCATTTATTTAATTCGTCTATGTTTTGTAGATGTTCCTCCAGCTCTAATGTTGTAAGTTACACAATTCATGTTGAAATTGTTGTTGCCCCCTTCTTGTTTTTGTAAATCTCCTTAGTATTGCAGTGAGAACCGTGATATCAAGCTATTGATTAATTTGAATCTTAATTCATTGAATTCACAACCGGACTTTGATTTATCCAAAGGAAAGGTTAAAGAAATAAAGACCTTTTGCGCGATGTAACAACAACGCTAAGAGATTCGGGGATCGGGGGTTGGTTATGCCTAGGGTAGGTATTTCACATCCTAAACATCTATAGTACTCTACAGGAACCTTTTGTTTGTTTGTATGCTAAATTTGCTAAATATTTGCTATGGCTTGAGATAGGGTATAAGGTTAGGTAAATACCTAAGGATAGTTTCTAAGTTTTCTCGCAAAGATATCGCATCATCTGCCTACGTATCCTAACTAGGATAGAATCAGAGCAACCGTAGTTCACCTCACTAGGGGTAGATGAACACTTGATTATGACATAGGTTCAAAGGGGAACAATCATAACAATGCTTGTATAGAGTTTAACAAAACTCTCTAATCTAAGTTGTACACTCAAAGGATATTGACTTTCACAAAAGTCAAGAGGGGAGTAAGTAATCATGACAATGATTCTTACATAGAGTTAACAAACTCTATCTTAAAGTTCTAGTTGAAATATACTCCTAACAATGGGTAGGTCTTCTAGACTTAAAGCAAATTTTAAATGGGTATAGGTTCTAACTTAACTAAATTAGGGTTCAAGATGACTTAACAAAGTCAAAGAGGGGGTAATGAGCTACCTATGACTCAAGGGTCAATAGAGAGACTTTTCTTTGGAATAGGGAAAAGATGAGGCAACTGGATGAGAACTAACAAGTTCCATCACTTGGGGAATAACTTAACAAAGTTAAAAGCATACGTAAGCATTCATTCAAACATGATGAACATATAAGAGCATGGTGACAACCAAGAAGAGATATGCAAGCATGTAGCACATCAAGCAAAGATTACAATTAAGTCAAATGGTTACAACCAATAATTTACAAAGATATTACAATATCTAGAGGGGTAATATGGTAAAGGTTCTTACAAGACCAATCATAGAGGGTAAAATTAATTTGAAGCATCTTAACAAAGGCGAAGGGAAATGAGGTGACAACCATCAAGATAAACAACAACATGTAATTCAAATAAGTTTAAATGTAAGCAAGTTACAACTTGAGGCAAGTATATCATAGGGTTTTAAAGAAATGTCAAATGTAGCAACATAAGACTAATAAACACACCTTGATGGCAATCAAGTACAAGTAAACATACAAGACATGTTGCAACAAATCAAGTAAGAAGTTCAAAGTTCAAGAGAAATCATACATGTTCAAAAGATAACTTTCAAAACAAAATCCATCCTAAGGATGTTATGGTTCTAATAAGACATCATAACAAGTAAGGTAGGGGCATGGGATCATGTTCAAGAAGTTACAACATCAATGAACACACAGAGATAAACATGAACAAGTAAAGATCAAGTATATAAGTTGCAAATTAAACCAAACATGAGGCAGGAATCAAGTAAGACCAAATGTGACAACATTTATTATGATGAAGGCATGAAGCATGGTAACAAACAAGAGAGATTAGAATGATCATGTGACAACAGGAAAAGGCAAAGAGATGGCAATCAACAAAACATAAGTTCAAGGTTTCATAAGAGAGAACAAAGCAATGTTCATGGTAACAACCAAGCCAAAACATAAATCCTAGCATGTTATGGTTATAACAAGATACATAGACAAGTAGAAAGGGGTATGAAAAGCATATTCAAGAAGTCACAACATCAAGAATCTTGTCAAAGTCCACAGATGAAATTCAAAGGTATACCATGCATACTCAAGCATTCACAAAGGCATGAAACTAACCCTAACATGTTATGGTTCTAACAAGACACATAAATAAGTAGAATAAGGCATGGTAAACACACTCAAGGGGTTACAACACATGGAATCATGGCAAGGTTCACAGATGAAGTTCAAAAGGTCATTTTCCCACATATGTATTCATAAAAGCAAGTATGAACATGGTAATGAAAGGAATAAAACATCTTTGAGAATTTAAATATGTTAACAAACATATATGTATCACAAAAGATCAACCTCACAAGAAAAATCAAGTTACAAGTTGAAAAAGTTTACAAACACCATGGTGAAAACCCTAAAACACATGCTTTAAAAGTGAATCAAAGTCTTTCTAGGATAATGTCCTTGAATTATTTTTTCACTCAATGAAATTAGACATGATAAAGAGTAGTTTTCAAAAATAATGGCATCAATAGCATAAAAAATGAGCAAGCTATGATCATTCAAAGTTGGTGTACCAATGGGGGCAAAACTAGGGCAAGGCAAAGTAAGACAACTTAGGTCATTTGCATGAAGAAGTGGAACTCAGTCAAAAATTAACCAAATAAGGTGAAACAAAATTGAAAATTGTGTGTTTTAAAACAATGAATTCAATGGTACAATTTGTTTTTCCATACAATACACTCACTGAAAAATTTGATAGCATCATTGTTTAGGCAACTTTGGTCACAACCAAAAGCATGAGCATATGGACAGTCCAAAACAGAGCAAGGTTTGATGAAACAAATATAAAAACATCACATATACATCCTTTATAGTGATTGGCTCAAGAGAAATCAGAAAATGCACATATGGATTGACAAATTGGAATCAACATGCACATGGTGACCTAGTTTGCCTTAGTTTCTTACCAGCATTTTGGACATTCAAGAAATTACAATTTCTATTGCAAATGGTGGTTCATACATGACATATAGCACACATATAACATGTTCAAACATTGTCTAGCATAAAAACATGGTTACAACTCCACATAGCATGTGAAATGCAAAGCAAAATATCAAGTTTCAAGGGTTTAGGCTTACCTCTTGAAGCAACCTTGCCAAATAAGAAAACTAGAGATTCTTGCTATCTTGACATAGTCTGAAAATGGTCTTTGGATGATGAAAAGCAGCTCCAATGATCCACAACCCCACTGTTGAACATAATGGCTTGAAAAGTGAAGAAAAACCTCAAAAATCCATGATCTTACAAAGCAACATGGTTCAATCTTTGTTACAGAAGTGCAAACTTTATTTGAACAGCTTCTATATGCTATTTATGAAGTATTAGAAATGCCAAAAGAGTTGGAAATGATCTGTAATGAGTTATGGCTTGAAAGATGCAGAAAGTTGACTTTTTTGGTTTTTAAGGTTGACTTTGAGAAAGAAATGGTTTCTGGTGCAAGTGGTGGCTTGGACAGATCTAGAGGGTCATTTTAAACTTGTGTGGAGTGTTGAAAGAGGCATGGAATGGTTGGAAATTGGTTTGGGGCAAGTTTTGTCTAAGACAGATTTTGGCACTTTGAGGTTTTTGGCTTGGCTTGTAAGAAGGTTTGTAGTTGTTGAGGGAGAGTGCTTGTGGCTGGTTTTCTTGTAGTAATTGTGTGTTTTTTATGCATAGAGGCTTTCCTATTTATAGGAAAAGTCACATGATCAAGGGTGAGGACAGATTTGGAGTTTTGATCTTTGGAGGAAAAAAATGAAGAAAATCTGTCCAAGATTTGGTGTAGTTGGAATTCAATGTTCTTAACTCAAAATGATGCACAAATCAAGTTGTATGAGGGAAATGGAAGGGAGTGAAGTGTGCCTAGAGAGTAGGGTAACTGCAACTGCATATTTCTTCATGAAAAAGTTTCTCTTTCCTCTTGATTTTTTTGATTAAAATATGGCAACTTGGTTGCAACTTGGCTTGTCATCTTGTCAAGCCTTTTCAAACCTTCACCCTTTCTGTATTTCTAATCATTACACTCTCTAAATATCATATCAAGACTTGATCAAATGGTTGAGAATAGATTTGGTGGTTGGCAAGTTGATTTGTGACAAATTTGAAATGGTGCATTCACGTGTTTGGACCCCAACTTGCTTCCTTTGAAACACCTAGCTCACAAATGCTATGGAGGATTTCTTGTACATTTTGGAAATCCCTCATCATGCTCTACAACTTTCAAGTTTTGGGAATTTTCAAATTCCAAGTGGAACTAAGTCAAAAACATCCTTGAAGTTGGCTGAAAACATGACTTGACAAGTGCTAAAAATATGAAATTTCACCTAGTCTTTTCCCCTCTTGCATTGATTTTGATCATAACTCCAAATATATCCATTTTTTGCATATGAGTCGCTTTTACACTTTTGTAGAACTTGTCAAGACCTTTCCAACAAGATTTGAACCACTCCATTTGGATGTGTGGT